CGGCCGCGCGAGCAACGTTCCGGCCTCGGGAGGCCGCCGGAACCCCATCGTCGGAGCCCGGCCCCGGGTCCCGCGACCACCGGTGAGGGCGGTGGGGCCCCGGAGCGGGGGACGGCGGGCGGGGAGGGGGGAACAGGGGTGGCGGCAGCTCCCCAGCGAGCGCCGGCTCCACCGAGTCCCCAGCAGCCGTTTCACGACAAGGAAGCGAAGTTTCTGCCTCTCTTTTGGGGACTTGAGGTGCTGTGGCAGCATCGCGGGGCTTTTGCACCTCGAAATAACCTGTGGGCAGGGCCATCACTGTTAAGTCCAGGCTACAGCATGTTCTTTGTTCTGGCAGCTTGGCAGCGCGGGTCTCTTTCACATCTACAGGTCCCATTCTTCTTCTGAGACCTTCAGTACGAACATCTTTCAAGAGAGAATTAAATCTTCCTCTTCATGGCAAGAACGGGGCAATGCCCGAGAGGCTGAAGCTGTTGTTAGACTGAACGGCTGTGCAGGGCAGGATGATGGAAGCTGCTTGGGCCAGAGAGAGGCTGAAGCTGTTGTTAGACTGAACGGTTGTGCAGGGCAGGATGATGGAAGCTGCTTGGGCCAGCGAGAGGCTGAAGCTGCTGTTAGACTGAACGGCTGTGCAGGGCAGGATGCTGGAAGCTGCTTGGGCCAGCCTTCCTGGGGTGTGAACGGAAAAATACCAAGAGATGGGGTAAAAGATCACAAGGTGCCAGAAATGATTTTAAACTCCCATCGGAAAATGGCCCATAGAAATGCCAAGCCAAAGGGCAGAGCTCAGTCTGTGTTAGGGAGATGCAGGGATGGAGCTGGAGGGGTTGAGATCCTCTCCAGAGCGAAGATCAGGAGACAAAAGACAGTGGGGTAGAACAGCACGGGTGGAAACCAGAAGGCTTTTGGGGCTGCTACCCTCCCCGAGGCATGCACACACATCTGTGCCATGCTGTGAATAAAGTGTGCTTCTGCTAAAAATGCTTTAGCTGAGAGCAAAGTGCTTCTGGCTTTCAATCAGCTGCTCCTTGAAGACCAAACTATGGACCAGCACAGTCAGGAGTGGGGAGCTTTCAGGGAATGAACATCAGAAACTATCAGGAAAACTGACAGGGCTTAGCTTGTGCCTCAGAGCCATCCACAGCCAGTCCCAGGGGTCCTGTCTTCCAGACAAGGGGTGTCAGACAAGCACAGCGAAGTAGGTGTTGGGTTGCTGTTGTGATGCTCTGGGCTTCAAAGCAAATTGCATGTAAGAAGCAGGCCCTGTTGCAGAAGGGAACCTAGCCAGGACTACAACAAGCCATTCAGTAATTTACTTAAGCCACACTTAGATCTCATCTGCACAGGAAGGGAGAATTATCTCTTTAATCACATCCTCAACAGGCCCTCCACCATGGGTTGTGTCACCCCACAGACATGATGGAACTGTTGCCTTGGGAAAGCAGTGCATGGTCTTGTCTCAAGACTTGTTACTAGATTTTGTGAGTCATTTTTGCAGCCTCCTGTTGGAGTCTGCAGGTAGAAATCAGCTGTTAGCTCTGTGCAAGTCTGCCAAGGGGGTCTTGTAGTCAGGCTGTCTCAACACCTCCCAACTGCCAACAGCCAGGCTGGCTGGCTGACATGGACTTTGGAGGATAGCATCAGCTAAGCTCAGCTTTTGGGATAAATTTCTCTTTTTTTTTCTTTTTTTTTCTTTTTATTAAATATGTGGATGCCCAGCTGGCTCGTCCCCTTTTAAACAGCTATTGCAAACTCTTGCTTCACCCACGCAGCTTTCTATGTGCAGAAAGATATTGATCTATCTTTTAATGTTGGCATTATCTCTTGACTTGCCACATCTCTTCCCCTTGTAACTCTGCAGTCCAGGTCCCCTTTAGTCAGCAGCCATCTTATTTTCCTGCATTGCCTGAGAAAAGGACCAAAAATCCAAAGTAATCTCTGCAAATACTGGGGTTGTGGAGCCCTAGAGAGACACTTTGAGAACATGGTTTCTCAGTCAGAAGCCAAGGCATGAGGCTGCAAAGTCACCTGCAAGGGACAGAGTCTAGAAAGATGTGATTAACAGCAGAGAGTGACGCCCCTCTGTCCTGCAGCTTCCACCTCTCTTGAGTTCAGCATCTTCAGGTTCTTCAGGCTTCTGGGCATCCTGTGCCCTCAGCGCCTCATCCTGCTCATTCCTGCCTCCTGCATGCTGGTCCAGTGGCACCAGCTTCACCCTGTGTAGGTGTGCACCTCCTGGTGCCCCGGGACACAATTCTGGAGTCTGTTCTTCCTCTCCTAAAGTCCCAATTCTGATATGTCACTGGAGAGAAAATTAGAACCTGGCCTCACCAAGGAGAGAGCAGACAGTGAAAGTGGGTACTTCTTGTTTTTACCTTTTTCCTTATCTTTCATAAGTAAGCCAGTTTAAATCAAAAACTCTTGGGAAAAGAAAGAGGTACATTAAGACAACACAGGACCTTACCAATCACCCACATAATATGCATTATATTCAGAAATCATACACTAGGCTAGATTTAGGCACCAGGATTAGGATTTGGTCCCTTAAGTGTCTGTAATCATTTTACTTCCCAGGAACTTGAAGCAAAATAAAATCATCTATTGGCACCATGGCTATGTTAGAGCAGAAGCATCTGAATATGACTGAATGGCCAGTGGCTTCAGGGCTAAGCTAGGCAGGGTAAATGCTAACGTGGTCCTCGATGCAGTTTCATTCTCCATCTATGTGTGCTTTCACCATGCTTCATCCATTTATCCTCTCACCTTCCAGGCTTGTGACACCTGCAGCTGCCAGCATGCATCTCTGGAGTGTGGAGTGATGGGAGCACTAAGGCCCTGCTGAAGAATCTGCCAAGCTGTCCACACTTCCCAGGGTCCAGAGACTAAGCTGCTCACTGGACTCTCATCTTGCACCTTGGCCAGGCAAGGAGAGATGGTGTGTGTCTTGGTGTTCGCAGATAGACAGTTGTACACCACCTCTCATCAAGCATGGCGTGGGATGAAGCCGAGGCTTATGAAACCATCTCCCAGTTATGCTCATCTGCAGAAACACTAGCTCTCTCATTTAAACCTTAAGAGAATGGCTTCTAGGGAGGAAGAAAGCAGGCTGGAGGCATCTCCTCACTTTCACTTATCTGTCACACCTGCCAGAGATGTGAATGCAAAGGTGAAGTTTTCAGCACCAAGTGCCTCCAAGGGATTGTGAGGCTTGCAGCAACTTTCTTGCAAGTACTTTGGAAAGACAATGTGCTCCAGGGTGTCATTTGTGTTAATGCAGCCAAAGGAGTTTTGAGAGGAGATCTCAGGGTTTTGGTCACTCTCCAAGTTATGGTGTCACACTTTCCACTGCTTCTTGTGCCAGGAGCAGTCACAAGAATTTCATGCTTCAGCTATAAGCTCTTTTGTGATTTTTCATAAGTTAAGAAATGAGAGACCTGTGCTTCCCTGCACACTAGGGTGAATTTGGGAATTCTGAGATGTTGCCAGAAGAATACAAAGGCTCCAACTCTAAATTCTGGAAACGCTCCTGTCCTTGTGCTAGAGAAGCCCTTCAATGCTGCAGGAGTTCCCTGCTACGAGATCCATTTGATCTCTGTCTCTCCTCTCTGAGGAGCCTGAACAGAGGCAGGATTGAGTTTCTTATGTCTATTGTAAACCAGCATGCCACACTTCCACCTGGCAGGCTCTTCTCCCACACACAGCCATTTGTTTCTGCCTTTTTCAGATTGGCTTTTCTTGCTTGCCTTTTCTCACATCGGTCTTCTTTAGTCTCTCTTCCTTGGATAGCATGCAATTACACAGCCTATCTAAAGCCCAGGAAAGGCTCTTAATAAAAGGTAGATATATATTAGCATAGCGTATCCCTGGCACTCTGCCCAGATTCAGAATTATCTGTTCATACACTTTCAGACTGATGGTGTGGAACCAAGCATGGATCACATATATCAGGAAAATAAATACTACCTATTTTTATTATTAAGATCTCTTATTGGTTATACTGGCAGTGGCCTTGTCCTTATGAATTAAGCACAAACTTTATTAATGTTCATGTGCTCCTCATTTGTACAGCAGCTAGTTTGGAGGCAAGTGGAGCCACAAATGTACTGATGGCACCTTGATCATTCACTGGTCCTGTTGAGCCTGGATTACAACTGCTGCCTTTGTTTTTCCTTATGACTTATTAATGCTTTGTATTAGCTGCGCTCAGATTGTTAATGGAGAAATGGAGGAGTTAATTTGTCACACTCTTATTAAATAGCCTGGCTTCTGGGATGTGCTAATGAACCCGGGACTTCCACCCACCCCACCCCCCCACCCCCCCGCCTTTCTACTTTGCTATACAAAACTCAAATTTCTGCAGGGCAAACGTTTTGTTCCTGGAAAAACACAGTATTTATTTTAAACTTTCTCCTGTTAGTCCCGCACCCAGGTCCCTACCACCTGAATTCACGGCTCATTTTCACAAATCCACGAATTCACAGCTCAGCTGGGCTCCCGCCAAGCAGCCGAGGGGTGAATACTCTCTGCCAGACTTGCCCACCGCCAGAGGACAAGCGCCAGGCGAGCGCAGGGACAGGGCACAGCCCCGGCGGCATTCACCCAGTCGGCACCGACCCGTGAAGGCTGTCGTCGGGCGGGTGGTGAATGGGCCTGTGGCGGCTTCTCACCCCCTCGACTGCACCCCTGAGGCCCTCCCTCGCCCGCGCCCCCCCGCGGCCCAGCCTCACAACTGCGGAGCCTAGCGGCCGGGGAAGGTTTGTTCCTCTGCGACTCCCATCCCGCGGCGACGTCAGGCACGGCAGCAGCGTACGCCTTAACGACCGCTGCGCAACCACCCTTGAAGGAGGGGAGGGCGCGCACGCGGATATGCTGCCTGATTGGTCGAACGCTCTGTCCTTCCTGCTCTGGAAGCGGCTGTAGCGAGCCGGCTGAAGCAGGCGATTGGCCAGAGCGGCGGGCCGGGGGGCGGGGCAGCGGGAGGCTGCTCGGGTTGGTTGCACCGGCCTGTGGCGGGTGCGAGAGAGTGCGGGGGGAGGGGTGGGGGGGGTCCTGAGGCGCCGCTGTCACTGTCGTCTTCCCGCCCAGGCCCGCGTAGCCAGGCCAGACCGGCCCAGCCCTGTCCGCCCGCGGCGCGGCGCGGCAGGACCATGTCGGCCACGGACGAGCGGGCCAAGGAGATCCTCCGGGGCTTCAAGCTGTATCCTCCCGGCGGGGCCGTGAGGCGGGAGGGAGGGACCCGGACGGGAAGGTGTTCGGGGAAGGGTTACGGGTGGGGGGACCCCGGGGCGGGAAGGGGGTTGCCATAGAAACGCCTCCCTATGGCGTCCTCTCCTCCGGTGGCGGGAGGAGGGGGGCGTCCTTCCCGCCGGGCTGGCACCGGCCCGGGGAGCGGGGAACGGGACGGAGCCCCCTTAGAGCTGGGGCCTGGGTCTCGGCCCTGCTCCGCTGTGAGGTTCCGGTGGGGGGATGTCCCCGTCGCGGTGGTGGCAGGAGGCCAAAGCCTCCATCAGCGTGGCGGCCGCCGCCGCTTCCCCGGCTCCTACCCCGGCTTGCCGGAGCTGTCCGCCGGCGGCTGCTGACGGGCGGCCCGTGGAGAGGGGCAGGGTGGGAAGGCGGTGGCCGCTGAGCGGAAGGACTCCCTTGCCTGGGCGGCGAGGACGGCATTTAGAGAGGGGAGGTGAAGTAGCTCGGCGGCCGGTGCCTTCGGTACCGGGAGGATCTGATCCCTTTCCCTCTGGCCTGCACTGTCTCTGCTCGGAAAGGAAATACCTGGTCTTCAGGTCCGGAGGCAACTAAATAGCTTGTTCCTTTTCATACTGCTGGGTACTGGAACATGTCATGTCGGTCATAGTGTCTTTTATCACTAATGCTTACATACGCTAGGTGTTAATGCCTTTCTTTCGTACAGTTAATTTCAAAACTTCATGTTGTGGCTTTCAAAAAACACTCTCATTTCTTGTCTGCATTGTCTGAATATAATTTAATGCTGATGGAATGAGAGACCTGAGTTTGGAAGAGAAGCAAGATCTGTGTGCACCCTTCTAACCCAGGATTTCAGCAAAGTAGTGAAAGGCTCAAGCCAAAAGCCCATGTTCAAACTGTGGGAGAAATATGAAGCTTCTATATTTCACTGTAGTTGATTCTTCTAAGCTTGGAAGACTTGACCTTTAGATACCAAAAGATTGTTGTTGGTGTGTTTGTTTGTTTCCTTTTTTACAATGACAAGGACAGAAGTGAGCAGAACACCCTCTTGATCTAATACTGTTATTTCTAAACATCCTTTTTCCCCAGCAAGATGTTCAAAATCTCTATGCCAGATGTAGCAGGAGCTAATTTTCTAGGTTGGATTTAGACAGATAGCTACTATCAGTATATAAGCAGATGCTTTTCTTGACTTGAACAAATCATTGTTCTCTCCCACAGCTGTTAGTACCACATCTGGTTCCTTTGCTTCTGCACTAGTGTTATTGACAGTTCTTTTTATTTATGAAGATTAGTATTTTAGCTGTCAAAATATGATTTAAAGCCTTTTGTGCTGGCAATTAGAAGAATAAGCTTCTGACAAGACCAGACATGGCTGTTGGTTGAAGTGAGAAGTGCCTGGCAAGTTGAGCCTAGAAAACAAACTTCTAAGCTTATTGCATGTGTTTATATATAGTCTTTACTGGATAGCAGAATTTACATTAAGGCCTTTGTCCAGCTTTGGATTAAATGACCCATTTTGTTGCTTGTTTGCTTAAACAGAAAATGCTTTTTTTGCTCTTTGAGAGGGAAGGATGTTATACAAAGCTAAGGTAAACTTCTATTATCTCAAGCAGCCATAGCATGGACAAAAAGCCATAATAGAAATACCCTGCAGTTCCATGTTGAAGTACCTCAAATTTAGTCTTCCTTTGCTTGTTATTGGGAAACAAACAGAACCCCAAAAGAAAAAAAATACTGATTTTATTTCTGACAGAACAGTTTTAAGTAAAACTTTACTGTGCTTCTCCACAAACACGCTAGAATACTTTGATGGTTGCCACAGGGGCCAGGTAGTATGGAGTCTTAAGAAACAGGAATCTATGCATTCCTTTAATAAGCCAGAACAGCAGCTGAACAGATATTCCTCATTTATGAGAGGAAGCCTTGAGACACTGCACCGTCCACACAGGAAGCCACTTATGCCCAGATGTGACCATTCTCTGTGCAAGGCAGCCATCAGCTCAGACTTCCACTTCCTTTTCTGAGAGCGAGCATGTGTTCTAGAAAGCATTACATTTAAAAGAGATGCTTTATCTTCCACCCACTCTGCTGCTGTATGTGCTGGTTTAATTTACTTACTAGTAAGAAAAACATATTCTAAAAGGCCATTAAGTTTATACTTTGAGTACTTGAAGTTTTCCTTCTGCTCCCAGGAGGAAGTGAGTTCAACTCCACCAGCTTAAGCACACCCTGCAAACTTGGCACTTCAAACTGAACTTGCTTTTAGCGCAAGAAACCAACACAGTATTACATCTAGGGCCTGCATGTATTAGATTCCTTGTGTGGCAAGATCAGTTGATGAGGCAGAAAGGCTTGTTGAGGAAGCAGACTTTCAAAATGCTTGCTTTAGCATAGGTCAGGCACTTTATCTGGAAATCCAGCTCATTGAATTATCAAAGTTTCCTCAAACAAATTCTGTTTGCTTGTGGTTCCTGAGAAGAGGTTAATTACAAGCTTTCCAACTGATTGGGGTATGCTGCTGTGGAAATTAAATTACAGCCCAAATCCACCCTCTAATGCAGAGATACGCTTTCCTTCCTCTGTGACACTAGTGCAGAAATATGCCATGGCTAGTGTCCCAAAACTCAAGCCAGAAACATTTACTCCCCCTTTCATGGACTTTGCTATTTTAAAAGACTGAAACCAAAGGAAAAATATTTTATGCTTGCCGGCAAATAAGCATATTCATTATACCTTATTACACTTGTCCAAAGAATTTTTATGGCATCAGTTAGAAGTTGAAGATTGACAGTCTGGTAAGTATAGTGTAGCAAAAGACCGAAGGCAGCCAGCAAAAGCTTATATAGCTTGACATTTCTTCAGATACAGTAGTTGTTAACAGAGCTTGTATATTCATCAGCTTGCTGTTTTGAAGGCACTCACCTGAATAGCAGTTGTTATACTTAATATCTAAAGGTAGTCTAGCACTAAGGAGATGGAAACTTGTTTGACTGATAAGTAATATCAGTTCAGTTGAAACTGAAGATTATTTTCTTTGGAAAATTAGCAGTCTTATTTCTGCAAGTGTTTATGCACAGCTGGTCTGATAATCTCAAATACCTGAAATCTGATAATGCCTGTTTCTTCAGAAGATGGGACAGTTATTCTGTCAAGCCACAGAATAGCATTTTACGTGACCCTGACTTACCCTTTTCAAGACATCCGTCAGGCTTCGTTCTGTCATTATCTTTAGAGTTAGTGTGTACTATTAAATGTATTTTGCATCCTTTTTCAGGTAAAAGTAGCACTGATAACATATTTCCCTAACAGTCAAAATTCAGTGGGGTTTTCTTGACGGGTTCTCCCACCATGCCCCTTGATAATTTGTGGGTTGCCTGTTTATCTTTGTTCCAGTATGAACTAGCATAGTTTTAGGCTTTTTTTTTAATGAACTGTGTTTTGCATTTGGAAAGCATACATGCTGTAGATTAGAAATATAGTCATAGTTTGCAACAGCAGATTCACATCCAGGTTGTGGGACAACAGTTTAGCTTCTTTATGCAGCTCCTCCTGCTGCCAGAACAGCAAGGAAGAGAAAACCCAAACAAGTCAGTTGGGTCTCATAGCATAATTAAGGTGCTAAGTCTCACCTCTTAACATATGAGTAAGCACATCTATTTTCCACTTTAAATCTTATAATTCAAACAAGGTATCACTTGTTTTATTTGCTTTAGTACAGAGGAGGCTCATCAGAATTGGATCTCCATAGCATTGTCTGATGGATATTTATCAGTTTAGGATAATGGACTTCCATTTAAGGCTATGCAGTATATCTTATGGTACTTCAGAAGTTTCCCAAAACAAATTAATATGATAAACATTAGCATGAAGAGATATTAACTATAGATCAGAGTAATTATGAAGTTATGAAATTAGTATTTGTGATTGGTATAAACAAATGCCTGTAGCTCAGGCACTCCAATATTTGTAGGCAAAATTTTATGTTAAAAGCTGTCCTACTTTGTGGAATCCTCAAAGTTCTCTGTGCAACATCTTCCTAGCTCCCAGAGTTTCTTCCAATCCTCACCATTGTTTTTCTGTCTAGGAAGTAATTGTAGCAAAGCATTAACCTCTTAGAAAGATGGATAGAGCTGTAGTGTAAATATACCAGGAACCATTAAGAGCTTCTCTGAATTTTATTTTAATCTGCAGACAAAATTCTACTTCCACCTTCTACCTGTTTTCTCCTGTACAAACAGAAAGTGTAGCCAATGGCAATCTTGCATATGAATTCCTAAGAACAGCCACGGAAATTCTGAACTAGTTTGATGCAGCAATCAAAAGTTGAGAAACCCAAATGGAAGCTTCCTCAAATTCAGTTTCCAATGTGTTAGTCCAGTAGGTCTTTAGCTGCTTATTTACTTAAAATACTTATCTGTTGCAGCATCTACAAAACTAACAAGGTTGCAGCTTTACTTGGCTTAAAAAAAAAAAAAACCAGAACAAAAGAAAAAATCCCCCTTGTTTTAAGGTTTCCTCAGATTTCAGTTTGTTTAGGCTTCTCATGATGGAATAGAAATATGAATCACCAAATGAATGGGTTAAAAGGAGACACTGTCCAGTTAAAAGTGGGAACTGGACTGCCCAGAAGCTGAGCAATATACTCTGTAGAGAGCCAGTACACTTCTAAAACACTCTAGAAAACATGAATTTGTGCTCCTTTATCCATCCTTCTGGTTTCTAAAAACTGTAATGTTCTTCCATCTAATGCATATAGTTCCTTATTATATCATATGAAAAGGAATGGCCTTTTGTTCTTGAACTTTACCGCTTTCCTGTCTGCAAACCTTAGAGTTACAAGTGAGAGTTGTCCACATTCCCAGTTGGTCTGACTGTAGAATAGCTTCCCACCCTGGCAGTATGAAGAAGTCTTTGTTTCAAAGCAGCCAGATTTTCACGTAAACGCTTTAGCCAGGTTGTACTGGGTAGTTAAGTAAGTATCACTGTGGTCAA